CAGCATCATGGCTTGACCACAACTAAGTAACGAGCCTGTAGAGCAGCTCGCTATAGGGGGAGCTCGCTACAACACGAGCTCCAGATCCCCCGAGCTACTAAGAAGGGAATACTCCAAGACTATTTCAGCTTGCAAGCTAGGGAAACCAGCTCGCTCCAGCACCTGGGCAGAAGAACCGCCCCAAAGACCAACCTTGATGAGGGTCACTTCGAAGTACCCCTAAGAGCTTGCTACAAAGTAGTTCGCTGCACGACAGGGTAGCTCGCGACTAAGCAAGCGCGACGCTCTCAGGAAGCTTCTATCTGACAAGACCGTACTCGTCAGACTGCACCACGTCTCTCACTGACGACGCAATCCTTGCCCATTTGATAGACTGCACCCACGTCTCTCGACAGATGGTGGCGTGCTTGTCCCTTTAGGACGTGTCACTCATTCAAGCGGGTAGTACATTGTAACGATCACCTGTGTAGCCCTGGCAGGTAACGGCTGCGATAGGAGCCCAGTGGCGGTTACGCCCGATTTGACAAGAACGCCCCTATAAAAGCCCTTTAATCGAAGGGGAGAGAACACTCTCTCGATTTAGATCTGTACTTGAATTCTTACTTGCTCACGAGCTAATCTTGAAACATAGTGATCTAGCGCGACCTACACTCTTAGCCTTTTATACTATTTTCTTCCTCCCCAGCGTTCTAACTTAAGTTTTGGAGTATTCCCGTTAGAAAAATCTCCTATGAATCATTCACCTTCGTCTTCTCAGGTGCTGTCCATCGCCAGCAAAGAGCCAATCAACAACCAGCTAGGAATGCCCGAATCATGCCGCATTAGAAAGATTGAAGATGGGGAATTTTTGTTGAAAGCTAAAAGCCTAGAATTTGTTGCTTATCTTAGGTTTCATTTATAGATATCAAGCTCAATGAGTCCTAGGTTTGTTGATTGGAATAGATCTCTATACCTAATTCTCATAATTAACACCATGCAATCCCTTTTGGGGAGCATCTAAAGGAAATTATCATGGAGATCAAAGATGAGTTTTCTTTAGTTTGTAATTAGAATTTACATGCCTAACCCTTTTAACACCATTCAAATGCCTTTCCTATGGATTGATCTATGAGCCAAACACTCTCCACATTACAAGTGTAAAGACATTGGCAAAGCACGTGTGCAAGTAAAGACAAAGGGTAGAAGCTAAAAGGACAAAAAGACATTTAAATTTCGAATTATTTTTATTATATATTTTTAAATGTTTTAACTCATATGATCAAATTTAAAGACTAAAATATTTAAACAAGTGACATTTGTAAACATTAATCCAATATATACTATTAAAATACTCTTTTTTAAACTTTTATGGCGTATACGGAAATCAAGGCAAGTATTTGAAATTTAATATGAATTGATGCTATAAATATTAAAATACTCTCATTTGATTTTTTATGGTATGCACTCAATTTGATGCAAATATGGCATTAGATATATAGTAGTAAAGATGAAATCCCTTGTAGGTTTTCCAAGGAGACGTATTGTCCCCAAGATCTCTCCATTAATTGCACAAGTGCAATCTTCCGTACTGTGAGTGTCATACAACTAAGCTCCTGTTAATTATTATTTGGAATAAATTAAGATGGAGCCAAAGGAGTTGTTTCCAAGTGGCACTCTAGAGTGCTTCAATGCCGGCCACAAATTAAATGTTAATTAGGATTAACTTGTTCCTCACAAGACTTCTAGTACATCTGTGAAATCATTTTGGAACCAATTTTTTGTGGGAAGTAAATCCAAATTCTAAACGACTGCAATAATTATGTAATAGAATATAGAATCAATGATAATACCTCACGTCAAGGATAAAAAGAAAAAAGAAAAAAAAAATCCATGGAATAGTGAGAAATTTTTTAGAGCGTGTTTAAGCTAATCTTATCTGATAGGTGTTGGGATCAAATCAAGCTGATGAAGAAACCACCCTAAATGGGACTTGAGTAGGCTGACACTATGACTGCACCAACTACGAGTATTGTGAGATTTGGACATACTATCCATGCATGTTCGCCACTTTGTAACGAGGGAATACTCGAAATTAAGATGGAGCATAAAATGGGTAGACAGCTTCACTTGAAAATTCTAGTCATGTCGCCATCTCTCTCTCTTTCTCTTTGATGCTTTAATTTTGTCAAATCAGACATGATCATGATCAGCAATCCTCACTACACAGCTGCTTGGGATGGATCCCTGTGTTCCTAAATCCAGTCCATGTTCAAAACTATGGCCTATCTTGGGAACCCAACTCCATACAGGGTTTATATTGGGTTTCCTCGTCCAAGTACACGTTCAAGGACAAATGCCCCGTCAGATTATAAAAAAGAAGCAAGGTGTAAAGATAAAGGAAGGCTCTTGGATCATGGGATTAATTGGAGCTAGTGGACTGATCAAGACCACTTCACAAATTAACCACTAGTAGTTTATAGTATGTGTATATACTCTTTCGGCTCTGCACATGCATCAAACATGGTCTCTCTGAGTTTATAGTACGGGCACCTTTGAGACCATGGTCATCGATCAGTACTGGTTACATTGTTATCTACTCATTCAATAGCACAAAAACTGAAAAAAAGTTTATAGATATGTACGTATTTCCTTACTTGGGTTCGACGAGAAAACTCAAAACTCTATCCAGGTGGGTCTACAATTCTAGAATTAACTTGATGAATGATTGAGCTGTGCTATATAGGTATAGAAGAAGTATAGAAACAATGAATCATGGCTTCGTTATCCAATCTTAAATAATCATTAGGTTGACGAAGATGCTGCGTGTATTCAATTCTTCACTGGATTTTAATGAAAACGTACGTAATTGAGCTGGTGGGTTATGAGCTGTCCAGCTGATGAGTAGATAAACTTGCATATATGTTGATTCTGATGAGAATTGCTTTCAGATTAATTTCATCACTCGTGAGTGAGTCAACTAGCTAGCTACCAGGTATCATATACTTGGAATGAATAGAGAGATATAACTATCCAATCTATAATATATCATATTTAATTTCGTCCAGAGACAACTTGTTATGGTCATCTGATCACTCTGAAGTCTGATCAGTATTCAGTAGGGGATCAATCATATGGAACCCATTCAACGATATTGGCCGGGTCCTAGTGTCCCACATGTCTCCCTACAAATTAAAAGTACTTGAGAAAGCCAATGGGCTCCACCACCCTGGGTGCCCTATCAATATTTAAACACAAGAACAAAGTGCAGTATTGATTTCTTTTTTTTCCTATATATCCTTTTTCCCTTTTATTTGCATTAAGACAATCTATACGTTGCACTTAGAAAATTCCCAACATTTGGTGTGTTATAGCTTGTTGCTGAAGTAGCTTTGCAATTCTGGAGGGAGCTATGGACAAGAATGAAAGTAGGTTGGCGAAGGGAACATATCCAATCTATAGCATTATATTCGTTGGGTAGGGTCTAACCAAAATATTGTGGAGTGCTCTCCATCAATAAAAATTCAAGAAAAATTCCTACAATCCATAATGGGCTAAATTTTGAGGTGGGTTTTGGAGAATTAGGCGATTTCCGTAGCTATGTACGGTTGGTTGGAGCATTGAGAAAAGAAATGAAGAGGAGATAAGATTCGGGTGAGAAGGGTGGACAGGAAATATAGAAAAAGGATTTGCATGCCTGATCATATCATGTCCTCTGTAATTCATCCATCCATCCATCTTAATTTGCAATATTCACTGGTGCAAGTTGTATTCAGCAAAATATTTGAGTATGTGTGCAAAGGAAAAGGCAAATTTCCATTCTCATGCAAGGTTAACTTCAACACTTACACTGAATGAAAAGTACAAATGTTCTCAATTGAATTTAAAAAAAAAAAAAAGAAAATTATAACCTTCATTCTATTTCATTCAAAAGTTTAAAACCTTGAATTGGGTTCATCATCATCGAGTCAGATCCTTGTGACTGATGAGCTCTAACTTGGCTGACAGCCTGACTAGATGCAGAGTCTTCCTGACTATTTATTTAATATTAAGTTTGATATTTAGTAATTAAAAATGAAATGGAAAAAGAAGATCAACTGAATAAAAGATTAGTCTTAATGATTAATTGATTATGTTAATCATGAAGCTAAGTAAGATGTTTAAAACCAGAGAGAAAGATTAAAAAAAAAAAAACACTAGAGCTATGGATACATGGTTAATTAGCATTCTGGATTCCATTAGATCGCAAGGAGAAAAGGTGGAAAAGGATGGCATAGAGGAGACTAAGCATCTATTCTACCTGTAAGGATATGAGTCATCATATCATCTTTCCTTTTTCTTAAAGTTAATTTACTGAGTGGTCCTGTCTCTGTGTTGTACGCCCAGTTTTATAGAAGCCAAACTAGCACTTCAATTTCCGAGTTAACTCGGCTAAGTTATTGAAGAACTCATATTTGAGTGGACTTCTAATAAAACCCCCACACTCAAGGTGATGAAGGAGATCACCTCAGAGTTTCATCAAATAAAATGGGTTCACATATTTTGCCCAACATATATATATCTGAGTTAAATCAACCAAGTCGACGTTCACTTAAATGAATGTTGATCGAGTTAACTCGGTTGAGATCCAAACCAAATAGCTAGCAAATGCTTTTACAGTGGGATACAGTGCATGTTAACACTTTACAGTGTCAACCTTGCTAGGCATCACCATCATGGGTAGGAGAGAATTTGGCTCGATCTGTAGTGCTAGAGAGAGAGAGAGAGAGAGAGAGTTCTTTTCCAATTTTCCATGGGAAGTCTCCACCTTTTTCTGAAACATGGTCTGCCATCTGGAAGTAAAAAAATTTTAGCCCCGTCAGCAACTTCGCAATCTTCTCCTGGAGAAATCTTTGTCTTCGCATTGTACAGAAGCACCAAAACATGTGCCAATAGAATATTGTTAATTCCCACCCAAACTTCTTTTTTTCTTATAAATAGAGGCCGGGAGATAGTCCCTCGCTCCAAAGTGATCATATATTCTTATTGCCAGGCATCTCTGCCTTCCATTCTTCTTTGTCTAGCAACTTCTCGATCTCTGTCGTCCAGACTACTTAGAAGGAAAGGAAAGCCTACACTATATATAAAGGTCTCAATTTTCCTTTTGTATTTCATATTTTGGGGTTGTTTTCACTACCAACCACCCAATATTTCTCTCTCGTGGATTCCCTAAGCATGGATATTGAACCAGCTGCAAGTGATCACAAGAAGGCCGGGCTCTTTGCTCGTGGGTGGTCATGGCTTAAGGCTTTACCTGAGAAGTTGAAGGCCAAAGTAGTTGAAGTGGCGAATAAGGTAAGGAAGATTGGACAAGATGACCCAAGAAGGATTGCCCACGCTCTCAAGGTGGGCCTAGCTCTCACCTTGGTGTCTCTAATCTACTACTATAGGCCTCTGTATGACGGTTTTGGGATCTCCGGGATGTGGGCTGTGTTAACTGTGGTCGTGGTATTCGAATTCTCTGTTGGTAAGTTGAAATTTTCCACAAGTCCATACTAGCTAGTCCTCTAATACATTTCAAACTCGTCAGCTCTTATGGGGTTCATTAATTAATTCCTTAATTGTGCTTTTTCAATCCATCTGTGCAATTAATTGAAATGGGATTTTAATTGTATTGTGCAGGTGCAACCTTGGGTAAAGGTCTGAATAGAGGGTTTGCAACACTTTTAGCTGGTGCTTTAGGAGTTGGAGCTCATTATTTGTCGAGTCTCTGTGGAAACAAGGGAGAACCCATAGTCCTTGGACTCTCAGTTTTTCTACTAGGTGAGTTGCGTTTCTTTTTCTTTAATTAAAAAGGACCAAATTAAAGTGACCACACCTCAACAGATAGAACATATATAGAAGTTGTTAAGCACAGAACGTAGTTGTAGCTTCACTATAGAAAGAAACAAATATATATCTTTACTCAAATTTATGGATTGTGTCGCAGCTGCAGCGTCGACATTCTCACGATTCATTCCTGGAATCAAGAAAAGATACGACTACGGGGTGGTGATATTTATATTAACATTCAGCTTGGTATCTGTGTCTGGTTATAGGGTAGACAAGATCATAGAGCTGGCTCACCAGAGATTGTCGACCATTGTCATCGGCAGTCTCATCTGTGTGATTATTTCATTTTGTATAATGCCAGTATGGGCTGGTGAGGATCTTCACAATCTGGTTGCTCAAAACCTGGAAAAACTTGCGACCTTCTTAGAAGGTACATCTCTAATATTCTCTGAGAAATTTAGTGCAGTTGAGTAGAATCTTTTACAAATTAATAAGCAAACAACTTAAAACAACACAACAAACCACCCAACATACTTTTCTTTTTTGTTGTTTCCAGTATTTCTTTTATGTGGGCTTTCAGGCTAACCAAAAAAGAAAAATATTTACAGGATTCGGAGGTGAATTCTTTAAAAATTTGGACGATGGGGAGATTGTAGTGGTCTCAGGAAGTGGCAAGTCATTAGCCGATTACTTAAAAAATTCTGAGGGGGAGACGGGTTCTGTATCCAAAAGTGACAAGTCATTTCTTCAAAAGTATAAAAGTATTCTTACTTCAAAGGCCACGGAAGACTCCTTGGTGGGTAATAAACTCTCTCTCTCTCTCTCTCTCTCTCATATTTACATTATATATAGTCATGCTACATAGGAATTCAACTATATTAATGGATGTGGAGTGTAGACAGCTCAATGCTCACCACTAGCTTGCACCATTTGAATGAACCTTCCTCTTTGTTAATGAATTAATTGAAATCTTTCCATGAAAACTACAGGAGTTCTATATATATATGCGATTCACTAATGATGATGTTATGTTGACTTAATTTGCAGGCTAACTTTGCGAGATGGGAGCCGGGCCATGGACGTTTCAAGTTCCGTCACCCATGGAAGCAGTATCTCAATATTGCAGGATTAGCACGCCAATGTGCCTACTTACTTGAAGCTCTTAATGGCTACATAAACACTGAGATCCAAGTATTATTTCTACACCCTTCATTTTCATGCTTGATAGATCATCAAAATTTATATCTCTACAAGCAGAACCACCAATAAAATTATATTTATTATTATTATTATTATTATTATTATTATTATTTATTTTTGGACTTGTACTACTACTAGTTATCTTATGTTTTCACGTGAAATCTGCATAGAATATCCATAGCTTTGACAAATTTGTCATAAAAGATCTCTTTTTCCAAGAGGATTCCAACTTCCAACAAATAATTGTTTAACTTCACAAGTGAAGAAAATGCTTGCTTTATTTCCTTTTTCCTTCTTCCCTTTTTGTTTTCTCTTCTGTCAAATTAATTTCAACTACAAAAGATTAACGAGATACAGAAGAAAATACTCAAAATGGTGAGAACAGAAAAGACATAATTGGGCCGGAAAATCTAAGTATAGAACCAGATTTGGTTATTTTGGGCACACTAATTTTTGTTTATTCTTAACAGATTCTACCTGAATTTCAGAGGAAAATTCAAGATGTATGCGTAACCATGAGCTCAGAGTCCGGCAAGGCATTGATGGAACTATCTGCAGCGATCAAAGCAATGACACATCCATCCTTGGCCGACCTCCATGTGGAGAACTGCAAAAATGCTGCCAGAGACCTCAAGACCACACTGAAAACTGCACTACTGGAGAATTCAGACCTCTTAGGGGTCATACCATCTGCAACAGTGGCTTCATTACTAGTAGACGTCGTTGTCTGCACGGAAAAAATTGCAGAGTCTGTCCACGAGCTTGCCAAGCTAGCACATTTCAAGACTGTGGAACCCACAGTAACGCCGGAGAAATCTCAATTACTTCATCGAGGAACCGTGAATCCTCTTGCTGAAACTGATAGCCCAGAAGTTGTTATTACAATAACTGCTGGACCATCGGAAGCTTTGCCAGAAGGTGCTAATCCTCGGGCACCAGTGACGGGCAAACACGTACATGGAAGTGTAAATATATGTGATTAACACATAACCAGATCATAGAACGCTCAACTTGTATTAGTAAATGTTGAGCGACATGAGTTTAATTAGTTAGCCGTAGGATAGTCTGAGAAATCGGAAAGGGAATAACCCATCAACAAATCTCTTTCTTCTGTAATAAATCATTGCTCTTATGTAGAGCCACTCAGTGGTTCTTGTTTTATTTTTCTCTTTTTAATTAATTTGATCGATTTCATGGTTCAACAAACTCTCTCCCTAATTTAGCTTCAATTTTCAGCTAAAATTAAAATGTAGTAGACATAAGTCAAAGCTTGAAACTATTTTAGTCCTTTGTCTCACTTTTTGGGGTATGGAAATGATGGTGTGTGCATGACATAACAAAAGCATCATCCATCATTTCTCTGCACAGTTGACAGGGAATATACAGTTCGTGGATGGACCGATCCCAAAGCAATACACCATCATCTGTTCTGGGCAGCATGTCATCTAGAACTAGGAGTTGATGAGCAGCATTATTCACAGGAAGCCCCACTCATGAGACAGTTTCATAGTTAAAATTTACAAGTAGAGGTCAGAGATGAGTTGATTACAATGTATGTTCTAGCAAGTTCATATATATGGTGGTCTATTTTAGTATTTGATATTTTATTAGAAAGTAAGCAGTTAGAGCATCTTATTCTGGCTGTGCAGTGGCTAGCCTTGTGGGTTTTGAGTTGCTTGCCCTAGTGATATGACTCAACAATCCTGGTTTCTGAGTCAGGCTTCAGTAGCTTTTATTTTTCAAAACTCTGAGCTCAAACCAGCACCTAGTGAGGTTCAGTACAAACGCACTTAGGACTATAAGAAAAAAGGCCATAGCTAGGATCTTGTTTTACCCGAGTACACAGAAACATATGTTAACAATATAGTCAAACTCCAAGTAATTAATGGAGTGCACTACTTGCTTATTTAATATGTTAGTTGCTTTAAGAAGTGTTTCTACTAGATTCCTTACAAATCCATCACAGATAGGGAGGAGTAAATTTACACCTCCTTGGAGAATATTCTAAAAATTGTACTTGTAATAGTATATATAGAACGAAACGTTGGCAATGCTTCCTGAGGCCCATACCATGGTCCTGGGCCCAAAACCCATCTTCTCCACCTCCTTGCAAGTTGCAACTACGCTGACAAAATTGCCCACCAACATATAGGTTTTTTATTATTTTTTTTTCATATTGATGACATTAGGGCTTAACCCATTGAATTAGAGAGAAAATCATTCAACCAAGGTTTTAAAAACCGATCCAGAAATGAAATCACTTTGACCACTGGTTTTCAGGTCAACGGTTTGACCGTTCAAGTCAAATGGTTCAGGCAGTTTATATATATATATATATATATATATAAGAGAGAGAGAAAAGGAGGTGACTGTCAGCTGGGAAAGGAAAAAAAAAGAGAAGAGAAAAAAGAAAAGGAATGAAAAGAAAGAAAAAAGAAGAAGGAAGAGGTGGTGGTGGTGGTTCACCGGCAGTGACGATGGCGGCGGTGGCCATGGTAACAGCAGCGGCAACAGTAGATTTGATCTCAGATTTTGCAGTTCTCTCTCTCTCTCATCTCAGTGATCTCATATTTAAAACTTCAGAACTGATATCTCATTTCAATCCCTCCCCCATCTCCCGATCTCTCATTTTTTAACACTTAAAAAATTAAATAGCTTCTTAGTAAACTGTAAACCATTGCCCGGGTACAATGGTTTAGCGATTTGACCACCCGGGTCAGTGGTTTTCTAAATCAATATTTTTTCAAAAAAGCGGTCCACTTAAAAATTGGACCTGAAGATATAACCATTTTCTGAGTCAAACGGTTCAATCGTCCAATCTGGTCCAGTTTTCAAAATAATGACTCAACCTCGGGCTAAATTGCTCCTCACAGTACATCCAGCTATGCATTAAGAACATCGCTCATAACTAATAACATACAAACACGAGATGTTCCCGATGTACCAAGCTCACTAACTTGAGGGTCCCCTATTTGCATTGAAGTCTAAAATTGACACTTCATCTCCATTTATTTTATTTTTGTTAAAACATATTGATCCATTCACTGCACAAAAATTCTTGCCTCTATGGCCATTAGCTACATGAAAGATTGCTTTCTTGGTCACAAGGTTCAAAACATATTGATGATGCATATTGCACTTTACGTATTGGTTTTAATTTAAATCATCAGAACCCGTCTTATCTTACCTAACCCTGAAATGATAACTTGATAATTAAAAGAAAAAAAAAATAAAAAAGAAAGAGTGCACAAAACCCATTTTTTGCATTTCGCATGTATCCAACCTTGCTTGGTCAATCACCTAAAGAAGAGAGAGATTGCCATGTGTTTAGTGCCATTAATTATCTACTTATCTCTCTAATCTTCCAATATAATATATTATTAGATTCATCCACAATCAACTATGTATAGCCAAACTTTCTTTTTTTAAGTGTGCTCATTTCCTCTTTTTTTCATTTATTTCTTGGTGGGTAACTGGATATAAGGCAGGCTTAGATCAGCTGGACAGCATTCAGCAATGATCTAAAAATGGTTCCCATAATTTCTAAACCAAACCCGGCCCATGTCATGTGTGAAAATAATCTGGAAAAGCCAGCCTTACCAACCTAAAGTCCATTGGACTCAAACTAATCTCATCAGCCCAAGCTTCAGCTCTGTTTGGATCGATGATTGTGATTGATAATCACATATGATAGCTGCACGGTATTCACAGTACCAAGAAAGAGAATATTCCACTTACACACGCATATGCATGAGTTTTCTAATAACCAATATTGGGGTTTGAGGAATTGTAGAGTTGGGGTTTGAGTTGTTTCCCACTTGCAATGACTATGCAAGGGGATAAAAGAACTCTCTCTCTCTCTCTGCTGATTCCTCCCAACAGTGGATGGAATGGACAGACTTTTCTTCTAAGAGATATGAAAGCATGTTTATCATGCATCTCGTACAATATAAACTACAACTCTTATCACCAGACAGACCTCTTCCTACTTATATCCCATGTTTCTCTCTTTTGGGTTTTTGGTTTCCTTTTCTCATGAACAAAATGAAGAGAATTTTGACCTGGAAAGCCAATTTGTGATTTGTTATATATAATACCTTGAAAGCACAAATAATGAAAACCTCATCTCTCAAAAAAAAAGTAAGTGGGGAACATAGCTTATCATGCGCAACTATCTCAACCAATGGTTTAAATAGGCCTAGGTTGTGGTGCTCCAAGGGGCTCCACATGTGAAGTCATAGGTCATAGCTAGGATCATAAGGTACAAACATTGATTATTGATAGAACAAAGTATATGAAATAATAGTATCTTATATAACTGAGGACAGTTATCATGAATTGACTCCYTATTACCTAATGACTATTATCCTTCTATATATATTTTAAAGTCARTTGATTTATTTATCTTTAGAACAATTACTTTATTTTGGGTGGGTGGTTTCATTGAATTGAAAGGACCTAAAGCATAAGGTGTCAATCAACTTGTTGGTAAGGTTTTTTGCTGGTCATAATCGAGACTTGGGATTAAATCCTGCTTACACCTTGGGTTGGAGGATAAGCAACCCCCAACCGGATTATATAACCCTTTAAAAGATATCAAAATAAAAAAAAAAAAACGACCTAAAGCAAAATACATCACAAGTAAAACCAAAATGAACCATATGTTGCCAGCTTATAAAGACCTCCTACCTGCAAAAGCAAATTAGGGCTGTCAGGGTCGGGYAGACCCGAACCGACACAATTATGTAAGGTTCAGGTCTGCATTTTGTGTCCCAATTATAATTGGGTTGGGTTCTTTATTGACATTATTAGAAAAGATACCACCAATCTAATACCTATTTTCTCATGATATATTTATAATATTATCATATTATGACGTTCAAATGTCTACGTAAATAGATTTATCATCAAAAAACATGTTAAAAGTAGTAAGTTAAGTGACAATTATAATCGAGTCTTATTGGGTCAGACCCGATAGTCCCAATTACAGACCGGGTCTGGTTCGGAAACATGTTCTACACATTTACTTATTGGGTTATGATTTTGGCTTTCTATTTTTTTATCTTTGATAAATGGTTATGATTTTGGTCTACCCTGACCTATTGTCAGCCCTACCCTTAGTTGGTTTCATTACAAATTAGGGGAGCAAGTTAGGTACCCAATTTGAAGATTTTTCATTGCATCTGCCTGGGCTTTCAGGCCGGGCCCATTGAAATTTAAACAAATGCCAATCAGAGCCCACTCAAATTGCACCCCTACCACAAATATCTTAGGCTCAGTTTGGATGGAGTATAAATGCAAATTTGTAGAATACAAAACCTTGTATTTTATATGTATTTATGCTGTACATATTTGCATTTATACTGCTTCCAAACTGAGCCTTAAGATAATATTCTGTGGGATTTAATTTTGTTGCCTTTTCTTCAAGTTCCCAAACTATAATTATTGCTTCGTTCTCTTTCCTCCTTGAAAGCAAAGTTGAAATCCAAAGTACTATTCTTTCAAACATTTTAATATAAAAACAAAAGGTTAGGAGCAAAATATAACAACGGCTCTTCCACTCAAACCCTATCTTAACTTTAGTCAACATTTAATTTAAAAAAATAAAAAAGAATATAATTAAAAGACAAGGTGATTCAAATAAAAAAAAAAAAAAAGAATGCACCAAAGTCCACTAAAGTATTGTTGTATTGTGTACACATTGCAAATAAAGAAACTGAGAACTGTGAACATGTATATTATATGAAGTTACAATTAATTCAGCTCAATTAGATTACGGTTGAGATTTTAAACTTTGAGTTTCATCAGCAATTAGCCTCCAGGTGTGTTGTGAGATTTTCCCTTTAGCTTGATTTGCAGTAAATCAACGAGCAGGTCTGGATGATTTTTGCAACCCTTTGAGACACAACAGATCAAATTTTTATTTTATTGGGGGGATTACAAGAAAGTGTTTAAATTGGGGCCATGATCACAACAAAATATGGTCTTGTAAAACTAAAGGTAAAAGGGCCCACATTTAGGGGGTGTTTGGTTTAGTGGTATTGGATTGCCATTGTGTTTCGGATTGATCAATACAAATTTATGAGAAATATGTGTTACCACATCATATATCAGTGTCATTTCAATTAAAAAAGTGTATGTCTAAGAAATTTCAATTGGACGTTTTAAATAGAAATAACAATTTG